CGGAAAATGATGATAAATCTTACCTAGTTACTTGTAAAATTGTTTTATCGGGTTCCTCCATTACAAATGATTACGAGAATAATTTTTTTTATCAATTTTCTGAAACAGATTATTATATTACTTGTAAACTATACCCTCATTCTTTAATCATAAATTTGTTAAATAAAGAAATGTATGGTATAGATATCGATGTAAATAATTAAGTTTCAATATGTCGTCATTATCTATAAATCAAAAGTTCGATCTTGAAAATGGCTTAAAGCGAATTCTCCCGTTACATCTTTCAAAAGATCAAATTTCTGAGGATGAAGCAACGTCAAATTCCGACGGAGATATGATGAAGCTGACGACGACATTTTCGAAGACGCTTCGTCATATGATGGTAATATTTCCTATCATGATGAAAATAGTCATAATATCACATATCCACAACATGTTGGTTTAAATAACGACCTACGACTCCAAACCTTTCGCACTCTTGATTATGATAACACCGATATCAATTATTACCAGGAATTCGAGGGAGATATTCAAAGCACACAGCAACAAACGACTTTTTATATCGACAAAATAATTTCGATAACGATTCAATTTAAGCCATGTTTATAGGCTCGCTATGTTATTTAAATAAGTATCGGTACAAAATATTTTGTAATACGGTTGATTCACCTGATTTTTTATAATCGCAGCCCGAAGTGGTATTAGAATGTTATTTTTTTTTTTTTTTTTATAAAATGTCCGTTGATGAAAAGTGCTAGTGTTTATAATGAAATTAATCCATTGTATGTTTAAATGTAAACATGAAAAATATAGTATATTCTTTTATTTAAATGATATTGTTTATTGTAATTTTTTATTTTCTATTAATAAATAGTAATACTCTAGATAAATTCACAATCGTAATTTCAAGCTTGATAAGCCATAAAATCGCGTATTTATTATTTAATAATGGATATCATGTGAATTGCGCGAATTTTTTTTATAAAAAAAATAACTTTCTCTCCCTTTTATCTAATCCTCTTAGCCTCCTACTTCAATAACTTGCATTCTTTGAAAATTTAGTTCGATATCGGGAGTAAACATGAAACGAAATAAGCAATCATTTTGTCCCCTTTCATGTTTTTTGAAAAAGTTTTCTGGAATAGCGTGAGCTCGTAGTTGGTAGTTTCGCAAGGTTAGGAATAAGTGTTTGGGGTATTGTTCTCAGAGTTTATTATAAAAAAAACCTACGATTGAAAATTACATTAAATTAGAGAAATAATCACGTTTGGTTGACTTATTGATGGAGTTAGTGTTGGTTTGGAGTAAATATTAAGCTGAGTTGCGCCATTTAAATTCCAAGGAAATAGGGCACATTTTTGGAATATCTTTGATTTTCTTTTATCGCAAAAATTTAACTGTTTAAGAAAATCATCGTGGATGAAAAAGAATAACTGTTGTGAATTTTTTTAGTAAAGATCGTTCCGGACTTAACAACGGTAGTTAGTAACTATCGATATATTTTAATAATTCCATAAATTTAACCTCTTCATATTATTTATGTTCTAAATTCTACAAAAATATTCTAAATCATAGTCTCTTTCATGTAACAACGCAATTTTTCCAAAAAAAAAATTCGTTTGTTAATAAAAGTAATTCTTTTAGACATAGCACTTATTTAGGAAAAAAAAAATTTTTCTTTAGTATTTTTCTAGAAATCGTGGTGATTTGTTTAATATTTCGGATTTAATGAGAAATCCAAGTCAGTTAAAAAACTCGTGATCTTAAATTTTATGATACCATATATTCATACGAATATTAGTTGCTTTGCTTACATAACATAACCAAAAAATATTTCCTAACATAAATCTGGTTAGTCCGAGGATAAAATTGATAAAAATGTTTTCCTTTTGTTACATTGCTTTTTTTGATTATTAATTATGTTCCTAGGTGCTTTTCATGGCTCTCCGCTGCGTTAAGGCTTATTTGTTTATTTTTTTTTTTAGACGATATTTTTAGGACATCAATGCTTCAGAATGCATATGTAAAGTTTTTTTTTTTTATTGTTCATAATTTTCTAATTTTTTATAAACAATATTTTCTTCTGCAGCATGCGTTTTTGTTTAATTTCTATTCTTTAAATTTGCTTTAATTTTCAGTTCAATCGCTTCAGTCCATATCCATCTAATTTTGCCCGTTATTATTGTTTAAATTATTGTAAAGAAATTTTCTTTCTGAGGCTGAGTTACGCACTGGATATATATATATTTTACATTATTGATATTTCAAAATCTTTTATAATTTAGAGTAAGAATATTTTATATTTAAAGGAATTTATTATTTTCAATAAAAAAGGATTTTTTTTATTTAATCAGAAACAAATTAATGATAGCTATTAATTTAATTTTTTATTAAAACATTAACATTGAAATTCACGTCTCGTGAATTTTTCGTAATTTGTAAATGAATAGATGAATCTTTTTAACTTTTATGGTGACAGAAATCTTTTGCATTACCTAACATATTGCGATGGAATAATATTGTATGAATTATTTCCATAGGAACGATGATGTTATAATAATACGCTTCCCTTACTAAGTTAGAAATAAAGTATAGCAATTTTAATAATAATATACTGTGCATTTATATTTATTCTGGATCATACTTTGTCCATATCCTCGAAAACCAATGTATTAAAAAATAAATCTTAATATCTTGCATCATTTGCACAAGAAAATAAAATAATAATAAAATATGTTTTCCATAATTTAGAAATGACGAAGAAAATATATTATTTTAAATTTGTCAACATTCCAATTATTGAGGGAATTTTCCTGTTTACGCATAATCATTCAGAGCTTCAAATTGTTACTTTGGATGTTTATAAATTTTTATGCTGTAAGTTGGAAAATTATTTCATCCTGACAGCGTAAGCAACTTTCCCGTCTACAATATAATTTTTCGTTGATGAGCTTAACTTACATTATTCATATATTCTAATCTTCCATTCGAAATGAAAAGTAAATAAATATTAATTGTTTAAATATAAGAATACATGCGTCTGTCAATTATTTTAAGATATTTCAATAAATTAACATATAAAGAATTCACTATATTTCCTGAAATAACTTATTATTCGGTACGTAATGTACAGTATATACAATATAATAACATCCAATACTATTAGACATAAAAAAAAACAATATCATTATACTAACAATAAGCGTTGTAAAATCAATTATTAAATTTTATTAATACTGTATATAGTTTATCATAGGATAATTAAAAAAAATGTTATCTACCAATACTTAATAGCTCAGAAGGAATCTTTATATCTAATTGTGTACTATTAACAATTTTACTAAAATCTTCAACTTCATCGTTAATATTCTCAGAATCCTGTTCCAAATTTTCAAATTGTTCCAAAATATAGTGCGGAGGATTTTATCTCCATCTTTGAAAAATAGTTGTAATTTTATAATATCAGGACGCATTAACGGGTTTGCTTCCCAGCAACTTTTCATTACTTTATGATAAGCCGGTGGGATATCTTGAGTAATTTCAGGTCGAAATCCTTTGCAAATTCTTACCTTAACAAACATATCATATGGACGTAATCCGGTTCCAAGCTCAAACATAATCATACCTAAGCTATAAATATCTGAAGATCGAGTTTGAGTTCTTCTTCTTAAAACTTCAGGAACTAGATATGGCAACGTCCCAAATACCTCATTTGATTCTAAATTAATATTATCACTTTTGCACAAGCCAAAATTACTGAGAAAGCCAAATTTCCACTTATTAATACATTTTCAAGATTTAAATGACAATGTGTTATTTCTAGTTTATGAATTATAGCAAGATCATTAATTCTATAGTCAAGGATATTTATTTTTTCCAAATATGAAATTTTATTATTCTGCAATGTCTTAAATTGCCATCAGCTGCATGTGAAGTTACAATACAATATTTTTTTGTCTTTGGATCCTGAGAAATAACATACAATCTAAGGAATCTTCTACCACTTGTCATAAATTGATATTGAAATTTTAACTATTTATTGAATATAGATATAAATGATTCAAATTTTAATAAAATAAAAAATTATAAAATTAATAAAAAAAGTTATAGTTTTGTATATTTACCTCATTCAATAAATTATCAAAATCCTCAAAATACTGATACTGATCACAAAATTTAATTGTAACTTGAATGGGAAACCGTTGTCTTGTGTATTGATGGTATACCAAAAATCATCCAATCTTTCACCATCTTTTCACTTTGCAACGTATGACCTTTCATTCCACCAAGTATCTTGATCAGATACAATTTCAAATCTATTATAAGGAATCCATTCTAAATATGAAGCATATAAAGTTACATTTCTTTGAGTAAATTGAATAAATTCATCAATTTCTTTACTTCCTCTAGTCCAATCGAAAATTCATCAATCAATTTTTAACAATCACATCTAGGATACCAGTCATAATAACTTTTTGGTTGTTTACAATGAAAATATAGCCCATATAATTCTTCTTGGCTATTATCCATATTTTTCTGTAAAAGTTTTTTTTTTTGTGAAATTTTTTTTTGATGTGTAACCTGATCATCAATTGTGTTTCACAAAACTTATAGCAAAAAAAGCCCTAACCATATTTTTATTAGTGTTAAAAATTGTATCACAATTTTCTTTAATAGCATGAAAAATTATTTTTTTTTTAGCTTTCAAATTTGTTTATGTGATAGATATGATAATTCATAAACTTTTTTTTTCTAAGACCCTCCTTCTTTTTGATGATATAATTTTACAAATAATTCATTCTGTCAGAATATTTTCTTTCCACACATTTTTTCAAAACTCGTATTGAAGATTCAACTTTTGATATTTACATTTTATATTTTGATTATTTAAAATGTTTAAGTATATTCAGATATTTCATCAATGAGAGTTTTACAAATGTAGATCATTCGAATAAATCAATATATTATATACAGTCAACTCCTATATAGTCACTTATCCCATATAAGCACATTTTGTTAGGCATTTAATGATAAACTTATTAAAAATCCTTTTCTATAGTTACATCATATAACTTTTTATAAACACACCAAATTTTTTTTGGTCCCCAAGGGGGGTGTGACTATATAGGAGACTGACAGTAGCTCTCTTTATTTAATTTTTTTTTTTATGTTAGAAAATTTTGGTTTCATATTTTCTTACCTTACTTTTCAACTGAATTTACTCGACGGTTAGACAGAAACAGATAGAAAAGTCTCAATTTAAAGAAGGAAGCAAACACAATAACCTTTTCCGTTCCTTTTTCCTATCAAGAAAAGGCTATATGCGTAGCTAAAATATTCTTCTGGGATTGTGATACAAAGATCGTAATTTCTGACATCAATGAAACAATTACAAAGTTAGTTTATAAATTATTATAGTATCATTTTTTTCGCTTTTAAGTATTGTAATTTGTTATTTATTTTAGGTTGACATGTGTTTACAATGATCAGAAAAGACTGGACACATTCAGGTGTTGCCAAATTATACACAGATATTCAAAAGAATGGTTATCAAATTTTATATCTAACGAGTAAAGCTATTAGACAAGTAATACCTAGTTTTATAAACAATAATATTTGAAAAGTTACTTAATAATTGTACTTACTTTAGGTCAGATATACCAGAGATTACTTAAAGAAAGTAGAACAAGACAAATGCCAATTGCCTGACGGACCTGTTATTATATCACCTGATCGCTTATTGACTGCCTTTCATAGGTATAGTAACTTTCGATTGTTTAATTTAATAAAAAAAAATTTATCCATTTTTTGCAGGATTTAGTAATAGGATAACAGTATATATTAATATAAAATTACTTAAAAACTTGTAATTTTTTTTAAAGAATATTAATTAAATATGTCGTATATAGGATGCTTTATCTTATCAAAGTGTTAATATACCATCATCAAGGATATTTACAATTGACACAAATGGCGAAGTGAAGCTGCAATTATTGTCAGGATATAAATCATCG